AAACCGAAAGCGTTAAATGAAGCAAGTCTAGATTTTCCACAGGTCTCTTCATTTGATTTGGGCTCCTTTTCAATTTAAATGTAGTTTCTGGTTTCTATCAAAATTTTCAGAGACTAAGCGTTAGAAATCAATGATACCGAAATGTAACTGATAACTGAGGGTTATTAATAATGGTGCCGAAGGGGCCTGAATGGGCTTTTTCACAGATTAATCAATATTCAAACTGTGCACACAACAGAACACGTATGAAAACAGCACTAGGCATATTTATGTCGATTTAATTGTGGGTACAAGACAATTGTCGACTCAAGATCGCCTTCTTCTATATCAATTGCTGTACATCTCAAGTGTTGAATGGATATAAACGCAAGGAGCTAGTCCAATTTTGAATTTTGAATTTCATTTAAAAAAAATTTAATTTGTTGAAATTATAAGTCGACATAATAGGTATAGGCTCAATTATATCTTCATTCCTATTAACCCGTGAAGATCAGGGATAGAATAGTTATTCAGCAACCCATGCTTGCCGTAAAAGGAAACTATGCTTGTCTAACGGGATGGCGTGGTCAGGCTCGCTGACTTGGTTCATGCATGTCATCGACCATTTTTGGATCGATGCTCATGATACAATCACTGGATTGTCTGGTCCAGACTGGATTATTTACAGACCGCCGTCATCTAGCTGGAATATTGCTGAGTGAGGCGTAAAACATCAACCAATCAATCAATCATTCCAATAATTTGAGCACAGAGACATTCTCAATCTTCTATGAAAAAAGCGGAGTTTTGAGGAATGAGGAGGAACATAATCAAAGTTACATTACCCTCTGAGTATACACTGCCGGGCAAAAGAAAGTATACACACACCCATGTTTGATGGTGGCTAAAGATGAAAAAAGGGGGCACGGGTGGCCCAGTCGTCTAAGGCGCCGTGATTCGCTGTGCAGAGTTGCGTCCCTTGGGCACGCTAGAAACCTATGATTGAGGGTTCGAATCCCGGTTCGCCCCGATTATGTTTCTAGGTTTGTCAGCACCATACCCGTGCTCGTGGGTTTCACCGAAGTGGTAAACGTCTGAGATCTGCATCACTTCGGGCTTTCCTTCAACATTAAGCTGACACGCCGTGATATAACTGGAATAATGTTAAAAGCGGCGTTAAACCAAACTCACTCACTCACTCACTAAACATGAAACAAACAAGAAATGATTATTCGATGGTGATGTATTGATACGAGTATCATAGTTGTGTTTTGAACCTTAGGCTTGCAGTGTTTCGGGGGCTGTTTTAGCCTAGTAACTTTTTGATAACGTTTGTAATTTGTTGGTCAAATCCAATTTTCAAGTGTAAACTTTCTTTCCCCCGGCAGTATATATTGTTCATTATCCCTTCGCGCCAACCTTCCTATAGCCCATGTATAGGGATGTCAGTTCGTGGTATTTGAAAGATCAGAGACATATGGACTCTGGTTAGATATTATCTGGTATGATAATTCTCACAAAGTGTCATCAGTGATTACAAGTTTATCCCACCTCTGTTACACTACCCCAAACACGTCAAAATAGAAATACCGGGGCCACAGCAGAGATCACGTCGCCTCAGCCTCCCCCAGACCCTGGAGAATAAATTAAAACTGAATCCAACTCAAGTCTAGAAGATTTTGGCAAGTCTACACTGCCTCGGCTCTAGGCATTCTTCTGGGCTCCTTTTGGATTTTACTTTCTATTTTGTTGATAAATTTTTATTATAACTTTATTTGTTGGACTAAATATTAGTCTACGACCTATCACATGTGCTGTATCACATAATATGCGTGCTAATATACACAATACACTGTACAATACAAATACCAAAATATTACATGTCTTTATCAGGCATTACAGATAAGACGAGTTCATAAAAATATGTACATTTCGATCATTTCCTTGGTTTTAACTAAAATCGGATTTCGTATCCGTTTTACAGTAAAGAACCTCCCACACAGACTGTAATGTGAGCATGCTGTTCGCGAACCCCCTACAGTGAGAAATTACTCCAATATATAACCCATCTTAGTCTGGTCAGCTCATGCAGACAACAAGTCTCGTGGGGGTTCTGAGTTATGGCGAGAATTACAGAGGGCGCTGTTTACGGAAACCGACGAAGACGGTCGGTGTCGTTGACCGTAGTCACGATTCCTTGGTCCCAGATAGTATTATCAATGGCTAGCCACATGGGGTGGGTTTATCAGCCAAACAAACGAACTGGCGATAAGACCTCGTTAGAAATCCGGAGTTCTCGTTTCTGGAAAATGTTATGTCAACAAGGTTCTCGAATAAGTAGTAAACTTTTGCGCGTAATTACAACATCTGAAGCACAGGAATCTAACGAATTTCATAAAAGAAATAAAAATAGAAAAATAACTCACCCTTAGGCCTCGGAGCGGGGTGTGGGTTACCATATGTAATACGCATTTACCATGTAAAACGTATGATGAGTTTTAATAAGTTATCAATGTCGCTTCAGATTGCTGACAAATTCATTAATTTAACAAAAGTAAGTATAAAATTTCGCTACAGATTCTTTCGCTGGAGGGGGAGCCAGGAGGTAGATATTTTATATATACAATCATGTATTTTGTTATTATGAATTGTAAACGTGGACAATTACACGTTTGTATATACACAAGATGAAAATTTGTCTCCTCAAGCGAGCAGAAAACATTTATGTAGATCATACGTTTACCCACGTGGCTTTAAACGTCCTCAACATGAGTGATAGACTTACATCTAGTCTCTGAAATGAAAATATGTTTAAGAATTTAGTTATCTTTATAAACCCAGAGTGAGTGAGTGAGTGAGTATGGTTTTACGCCGCTTTTAGCAATATTCCAGAAATATCACGGCGGGGGACACCAGAAATTGGCTTCACACATTGTACCCATGTCGGGAATCGAACCCGGGTCTTCGGCGTATAAACCCAGAGACTCTGCATTTTCAGAAACTTTAGTAATCTATACTTGCCAGACTCGCATGGGCTGTATTGGATATATTTGTTTCCTGGTCTGTAGACGACATATGAGAGATACATCTGGCTTCAGTGCACCTTGTCCTGGACGGAACGTGGCAGGATGGGTTGGGCTACATTCGTGCACGCAGATGTGGTTGTTTACGGCATATTTACCTACGTGAGTGAGTGAGTTTGATTTTACGCCGCTTTTAGCAATATTCCAGCAATATCACGGAGGGGGACACCAGAAATGGGCTTCACACATTGTACCCATGTCGGGACTCGAACCCGGGTTTTCGGCGTGTCGAGCGAACGCTTTAATCACTTGGCTACCCGACCGCCCCTTTACCTACGTAACGGTTTCTTCATTTGGAGGTTTTTATAAACAAATGGTACAAAGAACGGCCCAGGAACAGACGATGTTTCAGTCAAAAGCCGACTCACTCATACCGACCCTGAAATGAAACAACAATATTCTAAAAATCCCGAATCTTTGGCATCTAGATTTCTTCGTATTTCTTCGTATTCTAAAAATGTATTCAAAGGCTGGTTAACAAAATTAATCATCAAATATGTTCGTTTCTGCGAGTTAATGTTATTCAAATGACCACACTAACTATTTAGTTATTTTCTGAATCGACGGTGTATTGCACTGGACCAGGCTCCAGCTCTATGACGGCAGTCCAATCCAATCTGGATCCCGTTTTGTAAAGCGATCTTAGCGCTAAGATGATCGAAACTTCCATACATACATACACAAGTCGAAGTGGTGAAATCGCTTTGTGAAGCGAGTTACTGCACCAGACAATCCAGTGATCCGGGCGTTATGAGCAACGTCCGGCTCCATCGCGATACGAGGACACGCAATCAACCGGGTCTCTGATTGCGACAACCTCAGCATCCTAGTCGCGACAAAGGGGGCACGGGTGTCCCAGTCGTCTAAGGCGCCGCGATTCGCGAGTTGCGTCCCTTGAACACGCCAGAAACCTATGATTGTGGGTTCGAATCCCGGTTCGCCCCGATTATGTTTCTAGGTTTGTCATCACCATACCCGTGCTCGTGGGTTTCACCGAAGTGGTAAACGTCTGAGACCTGCATCACTTCGGGCTTTCCTCCCACATTAAGCTGACACGCCGTGATATAACTGGAACACTGTTAAAAGCGGCGTTAAACCAACTCACTCACTCACTAGTCGCGACAAGCATAGGTTGCTGAAGCCGAGTTGTGACCCGGACCAGTGAATGACACATCATGTACAATCGGAGTATGTATATTGGAGTTAGTGAGTAAGTTGGGGTAACTCTGAGACTTAGCGTGGGGTAATGAGTGAGTGAGTGAGTTAGCGCCGCTTTTCATTATTCAAGTTACATCACGACGTGTCAGCTTAATGTGGGAGGAAAGCCCGAAGTGATGCAGGTCTCAGACGTTTACCACTTCGGTGAAACCCACGAGCACGGGTATGGTGCTGACAAACCTAGAATCATAATCGGGGCGAACCGGGATTCGAACCCACAATCATAGGTTTCTGGCGTGCCCAAGGGACGCAACTCTGCACAGCGAATCTCGGCGCCTTAGACGACTGGTCAACCCGTGCCCCCCCCCCCCCCCCTAGGCAATGAGCAGTTCGTTGTTAAAAATATGCCCTTGTGTATAAAAAGCTTTAATTCTGTTACGTCGACGGAGTTTTTAATACGACTTTCGGCGACATGTTCGGCGACAAGTGAAAGCAAGTACTTCAGGTTTGTTATTGTACAAGTAAACAAGTTTCCTTCCTGGTGCTGCGTTATTTAATTACACATAATTGATACTCATCGGCGAGATGCATTATTCATCATCCACCAGGGCGAAATTGGGACAATACGATACAATCCCGGCAATTATTTCTTATTATGAATACCCATTTCACGCAGCTTATGATAAATACCACTTATAACTGACCTGAAGGTCAAAGGTCAGGGGTGACGTTCGACTGGGCTATACAGTGTATAGACTGGTTCTACATGTCCGTTACGGAAACGACTCCCAGATGTCCTCAGCGGCATGAAGATAAGTCGCGCGTGTGCCGGTTGAAGTTCACGGGGCAAGATCGAGCGTTAGTCATGATGGGCTAGTCCAAGGCGGACGGACATACCGTTAACAGTGTGTGCGAGGTCTGCGGATTACTACACAGATGGGAGAAGGTCGTTTTCTAAGCAGGACCATGTGGCGGCAAGTGATACTTTTAGGATCTGTATTAAGTGGTGAGTGAGTCTTTATGTTTATGGCGTCATTTCCTTTACAAGCCGCTTTAACGATATTCAACGGATGCGGAGGTCGTGTGCGTTTACTGCAATGCCCAAAGCTATTTTTTTCCATGTCGATTTCACGAAAGCTGTTGCTCGTGTTGTTGTTGAAAACAACCCATTGTAAATGTTAACCACGTGTTTTCACGATGCTTTGCCCTTTCAATATTGCTCTATCTGTCTTTGTGCACATAAATACCAGGCTTATTTCTGTCAGATGGCTGCAACAACAGATTTGATTGACACTCATCAGGTGTCTGGGTTCGTAGAACACTGATTTACCTCACTGCAACGGATTTAATTGGAAATTAAGATTATAGTTTATATTATAATCTCGAATACGTCAACTTGAAGAAATGTTCGTTCAGATTCAGTTTTACTACCCTCAGCTTTAGTCCGATGTCAGTGTGTACTTGCAAGTTTGTCGTTCCACGATTCGGCGAGTAGAAGATATGCAGTGAGACTCCGTTAATCCGGACAGAACTGACTGTGATTGGAGTGGGTTGTGTCCGGATTACGGAGTTTCACTATAAACTGGTATTGTGGTAAGCGGGGTCGGAAATGCTGGATTTCACGTTAGCAAGACAAGGATGTATATTCTTTATGTAATATGTCGGGGCGCGGTCGGTCAAGTCGTCGAAATATTCTCAATGGTTCCTTGGGTACGCCAGACACCTATGGTCGTGAGTTCGAATCCATGTTCGCCCTGTTATGTTTCTTGGTTTGTCTGCACCATACTCGCCGGTTTTATTAAAGTCTGTATCACTTCGGGTTTTCCTCCCGAACTGGAAAAATAGTTCTAACAGGAGTTGGACCCAACTCACTCACTCACTCGTTGGGGTAGACATATGTGAGGTGAGGTGAAATGGGGTTTAACGTCGCGTCCAAGATTATTGCACTTATATAGCGACGTGCATGCACGTGTATGTGTGGCTGCTTGTACTAGTCCGGACTGATGCCGATTTATAGTGCTAGCACACTGAGATACCATGCCGCAGTTTAACATGAATACCCCACTCAGACACAGTATACTGACTACGAGCCGACCAGTCCTTGTTTTAGCCCCTTAATGCCGAGCGCAAGACAGGGTAACAACAACTACCATCTTTTAACGTCTTTTGGTATGACGCTGCCGGGGATCGAACCCCGGATCTTCCGCTCTCCGGGCGGACGCTCTGCCACTAGACCACGGAGGCGGTCGGTAGACATATGTGCAGCACGTACAGGAATACAGTAAACTACGTTTATAACGAACACGCTTATAACGAACTGTTTTTTTTGGCCCCGTCCATTTGATGTATATATGCTGTGTATGTGCTTATAACGAACTGCGGTTATAACGAACTAAATTTAGTGGTCCCTTTGAGTTCGTTATAACCGTAGTTTACTGTAATGTTTTTTTGTTGCATTGTGTACGGATGAGCTCGTTAGTGTGCGAGTAAGGCCGCCCTAAAAGGCATCCCACTTATATCCAATATTCCAGTTATATCACGGCCTATCAGCTTGATGTGGGAGGAAAGTCCGAAGTGATGCAGGTCTCAGACATTCACCACTTTGGTGAAACCTGCGAGCACGGGCAATGGTGACAAACATAGAAACATAATCGGTCGAACCGGGATTGACACCCACGACTATAGTTTCCTGACGTACCAAAGGGAGGCAACTCTGCACAGCGAATTGCGGCGCCTTAGCCCACTGACCACCCTTTCCCCAGTTTATTGTGTACTAACATTATGTACATATATTAACATGGTATACAATGGAACACGTCACATCGGAAACCCTCCCTTTTGGGAGATTACAGGATAACTCACAGATTGTAGCTTACAGGTTTCCAATATTGGTTTGATACCTGTAAATTTCAATTGATACCACTTTCAGTTTTTGAAATTGTCGTTTTGTGAAAAAAGTACTTTCAAATAAATAGCTTCTCACTCGTTATGCGATCGTCAGCAAGTCGTGGACTAAAGAGTTGATACCCAAACAGAATGCAAATTTATGAGGCGTCATGATGAGTATTAATTGCTAATTACCCATTATTCGCTAAACCAGAAATGTAACACCAGGACGTTTTCACTTCAAGCAGTGTTGTAGACAGTGTTTCCTCTTTGCTCATATTAAAGTACCTAAGTTTCATTCCAAGTGTTTTATTTATGGCAACAATGACAAAGGACTATTTGCATATTTTCAAAGGATGTCATTCAGTTCCCTGTTTGTCAAATATCAACGGCTTGAATTTCAAGGCTCAATATAACTTTTATATTTTTATATTGAAGTAAGTTGTTCGAAGACAATGAACAGTACTTGAACTTGTTTAAGTATAGAACTTGATACTACGGTTAACATCGGGCTGGTTTCAATAACTGCTGAATCAAAGATGCTCACAATGCATAATGGTGCTGAAGCTGTAGAATCTCCTGCATCCTGACTGCGGCGATATAACCTGACAATGCCCTGTTGTTCAAGTGCAGTGGAGTGGCTGGTGTAGCATGCCAGCTGATTGTGACGTATATTGTGACAGGGTTTAAAGTATGCGCTGTATACAATCATTAGTTCATTACGAGACATTGCACAGAGCTGTTCTTAATTCACACGTGTTAACACGATGCGTGTGGGCCTTCCCTCCCTCTCCCCGAGGATCCCAAACGTCTCCAGTACCCTTTACCGTTCGTACCGACTGCAGGGAAGATGGGAAGTTAGAATTATGCCCCGACGGCTTGTTCATTTTTGTTTTGTTTGTTGTTTAACGCACGTATGACGGCTGTCTGAAAATAATCAAGTTTGGACCAAACAATCCAGTGATTGACGTCATAAACATCGGTCTATGCAATCGCCCGGCGGGTGAACGTTGATTATATGAATTTGGGGTTTGTCTGACCCGGCTTTCATTTTCCGTTGACCTGCTATAATATCGTAGCGAACAATATCATACCATTTTCTCATTGGTAGCTTTTAAAAAGCGCCAAAACCATTTCAATACCCATAAGAAACCTCTGCCAAAAGCAGTGTCGATTCTGATTATATCTGGAGCATGTGTTTATGAATCAGCATCAAATAGTAATGATACCAGGTGTTCACGAAAAGGTGTATCCTTCCCCACGGGTGACACTCGTCATAAATACATGCAGAGGCAGGTCAAGTGTTCTGCAAAAAACACTGGAACATGAGGTACAAGTCAAAATAGGGAACCGCATCGGACATTTTTGTCACTGATGCGTCAGATTAGGAAATATCCACATGTCCACCATGGAACTTTTTGAAAGCTTTTCTGAGGCCTTGAATGTTGTTACTCTTCTAAACTTCTGAGCAAGAGAGTTGCGGTCGGGTAGCCTAGTGGTTAAAGCGTTCGCTCGTCACGCCGAAGACCCGGGTTCGATTCCCGACATGGGTACAATGTGTGAAGCCCATTTCTGGTGTCCCCCGCCGTGATATTGCTGGAATATTGCTAAAAGCGGCGTAAAACCGTATTCACTCACTCACTCTGAGCAAGAGCCATATGACGCACTTTGAAATCCTCATAGAAAGAGCATGTTCTATTGTACCTCAAAGGTTGTGAAATGTAAACACCAAAGGCTGGAGCTGCTGGAATATTGCTCGACATAAACAAATTGACCTTTGAAAAGTTGAAGTCATCCCTCTTGTCATACAGTATTGTGGGGAGTGTTTTGTCACCCTGAATCTTTATGCATAGATCTAAATATGAAACAGATGAGGCGGTCTCACTGGTTTCTAGTTCAGGTGGGTAATTCAGTGGAAGAGAATTGGCTATTTGATGGTTATTGGGTGATATCAGATCATCGATATACCTGAAGCTAAAGGTAAACTTCTTGGCCACATCACCTTGGGCAATCGGAGTAGAAATTCCGACTCATATGCATTAAGAAACAGATCCGCAATAATGGGAGCAACAGTTGGTGCCCATGGGGGTGCCTAGCTCTTTCCTAACTGTCTTGCCCAAAACTTTTACTTAGATGTTATCGATGAGGAGGTCTCCAACGGTTCACATATTGTTTTCTCAGTGAACTTCAGATGACATTCGGTTTAATTTTTGACAACTTATCCCGAACCTCTGAAGATAGATATGTGATTGTATCTATGGTCACCACGTTTTGACCGCCTCCGTGGTCTAATGGTAGAGCGTCCGCCCGGAGAGCGGAGGGTCCGGGGTTCGATCCCCGATCGCATCATACCAAAAGACGTTAAAAGATGGTACTTGTTGTTACCCTGTCTGGTGCTCGGCATTAAGGGGCTAAAACAAGGAGTGGTCGGCTCGGAGTCAGTATACTGTGTCTGAGTGGGGTATTCATGTTAAACTGCGGCATGGTATCTCAGTGAGCTAGCACTATAAATCGGCATCAGTCCGGACTAGTACAAGCAGCCACACACACACACACACGTGCATGCACGTCGCTATATAAGTGCAATAATCTTGGACGCGACGTTAAACCCCATTTCACCTCTACTCACCACGTTTTGTAACAAAAATCTCATGGATCAAAGAGTGGGATTTGTCAAGAGCTTTGGAATCCAGTACAAAAAGGAATGGACATGTCCTCAGGTTTGAGAGTCAATATAATCATTGATGGTACTGACGCATGGTTTTGGCAGATAAATTAACATACTGGACTTATATGTAACATCATGTGATATGTCACTTATACCAAGTCCTTTGAGCAAACAATTAATGTAGTGATGCCTACATATAATGGTTATGTTATTTGAGGCCTCAAACAGTTCGTGAGGACAGCCAGACTTTGGATGACGGCTGGCTGGGACAGAATGGGTTTATTCCAATTCTGCTTCCTCTTTCTTAGTTTGTACATTCTACCAATGACAGTTGCTGAAAGGCGTCTGTCGTAAGTCAATGTTAAATTATGTGAGTTACGAAAGTAGTATCTCTGCAACAGCTTTGTGTAGTGGAGACCAGGTCTACCGCGGTTACCCGGTAGTATAAGAGA